AAAAGCAGCTTGATTCAGAATTGTGCCCTGCCCTACTTTTCAGCACATTCACGCTGTGATTCTGTGTGAATGGATTCTGTAGAGAATTAGTTCATTTCACATCCACAAGCAAATCAGCCTTTAAAGCATGGCCTGACCCATGATGTTAAATTAGTAAAAAATTGGGCCTTGTGGAAAACCTAATTAGCATATGCTTAAATAATTCCTAATGATAAGAAGATTGGACCATGAACTCATATCTGAGCATTTATTAGATTTGCCACTGCTGGTATTACACTGGTATTAGCAGATCACATATAGACATTGAGCTTGCTCAATCTACGTGGATGAAAACATTAGATATTGTTCTAATCCTGACTTGGGAAACTGAATTGGGTTTTTGTGATCGATTCGACTTGGTGTCAACAGCAGAGAAAGGAGAAAATGGCACGACTGTGAGCATATTCAAGATAAAAAGTCACTCATCTGAAATGAAACTAAGCTGAACAACATGCTGTTTTTTTTTCACTTCTCATTTTATTTATTTTACCAAGACATTCAAATTCAGTAAATGTATGATCTTGGTACATTTATTTGTTCCATTTTCTTTTAAAGCGTCAGGAAAGCAACGTTTATGTCCAGCCTAATGTTTCTTTACTTAAAAAAAACTGTCCCAGTCTCTGCGATTCGTATCGAATCAGTACTCAGCAAAAGCCGATACCCATACATTTATGTCCTTGACTCAAGACAGCCTAACTCATTCATTGCTGTGTGTAAACAAGCTTAAATATGATTCTGTCTCCCAGTGCATGTTACTTTATCTTCCTGCTGCTCCCCCCCTCCTCTGTTGTTCCATCTGTGCTACCACAGAATCAGCATTCAGCTTTATAGCTGATGGATAGTGCAGCTCTTGAGTCTGACAACTTGGAGTTTATAAATGTATTCTGTCTTCAGGTTAGCACATACTTTCAGAAGAAGGTCCAGAGTAAGATCAAAGATCTCCTCCAGCAGATGGAGGAAGGCCTAAAGACAGCCGACCCCCATGACTTCTCCACCTACACCGGCTGGACAGGTCTGTCCCTGACTACTCTAAAAATGTGAAGAGAGCACAGTTCTGTTATCCATCCACCCAAAAATATCCTCTATTTTATACGCTCAGGTCCATAAGTATTTGGACAACGACAAACACTAATGTTCTCTCTGTACACAATTAATAGATATTAAATTAAACAGTTAACACTGAACTGAAATGCAGACCTTGATCTTTGATTTAGGGATTTAACAAAAGTATTGCAATAAAGGAATTGCAGATATTTTTTGTACATAGTCCCCCATTTACAGAGAAAAGTTTAGAGGTTTAGTCTAAAGTTAAAATTAATAATGACCCAAAACATGTTTCAAAAGCAACCCAAGAGTTTATTAAGGCAAATATAAAAAAAAATTGCAGTAATTACCAGATGTAAATCATTGACCTTATCTATGATTTACATGATTTACAGTAGAGAGAGCGTTTTAGTTAATGAAGATAAAACTGGAGCCAGAGAGAGGATGTGCTGCAGTGTTTGGTGGCACGTTTGGTGATTTCTAGACTTCGGGCAGTCACTGGCTGCAAAAACAAAAAAATCATCCAAGCGTTAAGAA